AGAACAAGATTTTGGTGGTGTTAAGACCCAGAACCAAGCTTACTGAGCAATAAAGCTATAGTGAGCCCTTTTATTAAAATACCTGGAGCCTAGGAAATACAAAAATAAAACAAAAATTGTCATTCACTCTGTATTACTTGATGTAATTCACAACTATTTCAATTACAATTATGTACAAATTAATATTCAGTTGTGTTTTAGGGGAAACACATGTTTGTGACTGGGCATTTGATTTACATTTGAAAGAAACTAACATTGGATACAAACTAGCCACATTTCACTGAAAATTGCAGTTGTAAATTCAAAATAGGCCATCTGTGTAATTCAAGTAGATTCAATGAGTTGAAAACTCTTGTTACTTCATACTTAAATACAAAACAATGCAACAAAAACAACTTTGACAAAAAATAGATTTTTAAGTGTTATAATAGTGATTTTATAATGTCTAAATATAAATCCATTAGCAAAACATGTGAAAAAAAACTATATTACAGAGTGGAAATGGTAAAGGAGACAATAAATGATCCTCTGCTGCCATTTAGTGGCCACAGTGGGAATCATGACGTTCATTTTAATAGTATTTGTTTTTCTACCAGGTGAAATCTTGGCAGAAATCTTCCACTTAGCATGGCAAATTTTCCATGAATGATCTCTTTAAATAAAAATGAAAAAAAAAAAATGCAGATGTTCTTTAAAATAAATTTTACTACATACAAATGTGCAAAAGTATTAATAATTTTGAGGCAAATTATATATATATTCAAATTACCTAACTAAAAAGTGAGCAATAGTACATCTGTTTGAAAATAAAAAAATGTGTTCTACTGTCTGGGGTCTGCCATCAGGAGTTAAAGGGGATGTTATGTGACACACTTTTCTTTTTTTTCTTCTTGTTTTTACTTTTTACTTTTTTCCCTATGGTATTAAAAAGGGGAAGGGGGTACAAACCTTTGTCACTTTTTTCACTCCTGATGAGTTTGTATCCTTCCATGCACAAGCTAGTAATGGGCTTTTGGCCATTGACTTGCAGATAGTTTTCTGCACAAGTTAGAGGCTACTAGAATACAGCGGGGCGCCGACACTGAACTTGCATACCCCTCGGCAAATGTACAGTTGCGCCCCTGATGACAAACCAATATTTCCTATCACAGTGCTCAATAAAGATCTATTCAATTTGTGCATGACATGTTTTTGGAAGTCCTGCATTGGAGAAGTCAAGTATCCAGTGTTGCTGTGTTGTGTCTCGTACAGGATGGTGTTCAGTCGAGAGGCTGTGGTCCAGCTGTTGGCGAGCGGCTGTAAGTGCTACAGTAATGATGCTCCTGATGACATGGTTTTGGGAATGTGTCTCAATGCTCTACGAGTTCCTGTCACACACAGTCCCCTCTTCCATCAGGTACACACACACACACACTTTTTACCTAATCTAAATTAGGATATATCATGGACTTTTATTTTAGATTTAGCTAACTATTGCTATAGGCTAAACCTGACCCTAGAACCATTCAAATAAAGCTTTTTTTTTTTAATACAAAAAATTTACTTTTTTAAAATATTTTATTTATATATTAAAGTAATTAGTAGTTTTTCTAACTACTCACTGTTGCATAGCTACATTGTTATTTTGTATTTTTTATTGCTACAATAAAATAAATATTAATAATATTAATAATTAATTTGAATTCAATATTATTATTAGTAGTAGTAGTAGTAGAAGTATTTTTAAATGTATTTATTTTCAAAGTTACCCAGCTTCTTAGAATTTATTTTTTTCAGCATTTTTGTCCCCAAAAGTGTAACTACTTTAAAAATATATTTTTCCTACCCACACACTGTTGACTATTATTATTATTATCATTATTAAGTTGGCTTGAAAAAGCCAACTTACTAATCATCATCTTCTTCTAGCTATACCACCAAACTCGGGTCAGACCTTTAGACTGGTCTGAAGTTAGTTGCTATATCTTTTCTAACTGATCAGGCTTATGGTTTTTCAAAAACCAGACTATCAAAACCACCAAAAATCCCATAGACTTTCATTGAGGGGGTAAAAACTTTTATTCAATGAGATATATGGTGTATTTAAGCTGAAAAAACAGCTGAAGCCAGCCTAAGATGGTTGGCTGCTTTGGCTGGTCTCCCAGGCTGGTTTTAAAGTGGTTTTGGCCACTTTTTGGCTGGTCTTAGCTGGTCAAGCTGGGAGACCTGCTAAAAGACCAAGCAAGCTTAAATCAGTTACTTTCATCTTAAACCAGCTAAGACTAGACAACCAGCTTAGGCTGGTTTTAACTGGTGTTTAGCCTTTTTTTTTTTTTTGCTAAATCTGCTGGGTTTAGCTGGTTTTTAACCTTTTTTTATTTATTAATTTTTTTGCTAAATCAGCTTATTTTAGTTGGTTTTTAGCTGTTCTTCAGCTGGTTTTTTTTTTGTTTTTTTACTGAATTAGCTGGTTTTAGCTATCTATCTGTTTGTCTGTTTTTATAGAACATTCTAGCTTTGAAAACTATTAAACTAAAACTTAAAATGATTTCAAACTTAAAGCTGTCAAAATTTCTTGCTTACTTTCTGCCTAGGCTTTCTCAAGCCAACTTAAAGTTTGTCTACAAACTTTACTCATCTAGTTATTATTATTATTATTGCAGGTATTTTTATTTATTTTAAAATATATTTATTTTCAGTTACCCAACATCTCAGGATACATTTCAACATTTTTGTCCCCAGAAGTAGAACTAGTGAAGTTTTTTTTCTACCTACACACTGTTGCCTAGCTATAAAAATAAATATTAGTAATAATAACTAATAAATTGTATTTATTTATAAATAAATTAATATTTATAATTTTTTTTATTTCAGATTTACCCAACTTCTCATGGTATTTTTCAACATTTTTGTCCCCAGAAGTTTAACTAGGTCAAAGCACATACACAGACTCCTTCAGTACGTGAACTACGCCAGTACTTGCCCTGTCCTACTGCCAGCACACATTGTTGTCCCATGGTGTTTTGTCCACTTACCAAATGGGACAAAAAGTGTAGGCAGCACAGCAAGTATCCCAACACCTGAGCCATTTGTTTTCCTGTCAGTCTTCATTTTTCAGTGCACTGGATGTCTCAGATAGGGTTGGAAAGCTCAGTTTGATTTGATGATACCATGTCTGCTTTTTAAACTACTAATTTGTGTGAGCAATGAATTTTGTGCATTTAAAAAAAAAAAAAAAAGTTTTTTAGTAAATTTTAGTACAGATGATACAGGTTTCTGTATATTTCCTGAACTCCATTAATAATTAAAAGTGCTGATCTTTGCAGATGGTAAGAAAGTTATCCAGACATGTTCATTCCGAGTTATTTCTGGAAAAGAAATAATTGCATATAATATCGCTTTGTGTGTCATTTCTAAAATCATCTTCCTCATTACTTTGTAAGAAGCAGTCTTGATATGCTCTGTATATCAAACGTTTATCTTTCCAAGTAATTTATGCTAGCAGAGAGGTTGTGTCACTGAAGGTCTTAAGCAGTGCTGTACAACCAAACTTTTATTTAACACCAACTTCCACTACTTTTATAAGACCCATTTGAGTTCAATCAAACCTCACATCATTTGACCAGTGTGTGGGGAGATGTTCTTTTCCAGAGATGTTTTCTTTTAATGTACCAAATAACAGGAAGTTAGTAACAGTAGTAGTTTCATTAGATAACACTAATCATATCTCCTCCTGTGTTTCATTTTTTTATTCCGTCTCAGGCTCGTCCAGAAGATTACGCAAAGGAGTTTTTGGCCCACCAGACCCCCATTTCCTTTCACAAACATTGGAACATAGACCCTATTGCGGTGTTTAACAAGTGGTTGCTGAACGACAAACACACAGAAGGACTACAGAAAAGCACTAAGGAGGAATTATAATGTCTGCATTTGTGTGTGCGCATGTGTGAGAATAGTAATGTGCATATGTCTGATCTGTGTCATGCGTCATTCATTCTTGAATGTTTTCTATATTGTGAATCTTGCACAAACATGAATGAAAGGGTGCCTTCTGGTCTGTGTGAATGTCCTTAACTGTGTTTTCTTAGGAGTTGCATGTCTTAAATGTATGTTGGAGAAACATTTCTGAAGTATTTATATTACACGATTGTCATGACCTATTCAAGGTTATTTGTAGGTTTATTTTTTAAACACTTTTGTTTTCTAAAAGATTTGAATTATGTGTGAATTATAATATTGGAATTTATGATAAACTTTAAATCCTGTTGCCTTAAATCTGTTTTTGCAGTGTCCTTATTTGTGTCCCAGTGTCCCAGCTGCATCTCATAACTAAAGAGAATGTCATGAAGATGTAATTTCACTTTAGTGGCAATGAATAGGTTCTTTTCATTGCCAATAAAGTTTTCAAAACTTACTCAAAGAAATGCTGATTACAATTTTTGCTCCTTCAAAAAGCTTTTTCAAGAAAATTCCAAACTAATTTTTTTTTTCCATCAACACTGATGTACAAGAACACAGTGTTCTAATCTACTAAATGTAAATTGAAACTAAGTGCAGGAATGCCTTAATTGAAATGAATAAATAATTCATTTTGTTTATGAATAATAAAACATCATAAGATTAATTATCCTGTTCCGGCTTGTCTGCTCAGCAATGTATCTGAGCTGTGCACTCCTGAAAATGAGCCTACTGAATTAAAATCCACACCAATGATATTGATCTATTACCACTGGCTGCGAGGAAAGACAGATAATCGGATATTTGGAAGAAAATTTGGAGTTCTGTGTCTGATAACATGACTTCATGTCAGTTTGAGTTCTGTTTGGTTTTAAAGCAGAAGGGAGGACAACCCGGATGGATAGATAGATAGATAGATGTTCCATAGCAACCACAAAAGAAGAGGATGAGTCTGACGCACAGTCTCTCTCTCTCTCTTCTTACTGTCACAGTTAACGGATACAGATAACGGTTTTTTCCCCCTAGCTCAGTGTTTGGATAAAATGTAATTACGCGATGTGGGCATGTACGGCTGGCACGACGCCACTATGAGATCGGTTCAGTCTGCTGCTGTTACAGTTTTTACATCGGATTTATATTTGATATGGATATTGCTCACTATATCGATAACAACAATCAAAGGTAAGAAATGATCAGTTTCAGTAAATCAAAGCTGGGTTATCTTCGAAAAAATCTTATTTTCTTTATTTAGGAATAGATTTTCATGATCGATAAAAAAAATATTGGAAAAAAGAATAGGTTACTGTAAAATAATAACTAACCTACTACAATGTAAAACTTTAATTGCTGATTTGATATTATGCATTAACTATATTAGTCTACTTTTCATATTATTGGATCATAAATGTCTTATTCATTCTTGATCCCTTCAACCAAATTATATATGAAATATGACCTTATCAAATCCAGTCATATGCATGTGGCATTTTGAAGTGGTGATAGATGTTACTTGCAGTGATAAGTTCATTGTACTTTTTCAGCCACTTTAATATTTCATTACTGGTGAGTAAAATCAAGTTAAAACTTAAGTTAAATTAATGGAAAAAATGATTCTATAATGACAATTTTTTACAGTGCAGCTAAGTATTCCTTCATTACTAAAGGAAACATTGTCAATTATGCTGTACCAGAATAAAACACCTTGTAACACCTGAGGCGTGTTGGACACTGAAATCCAACATTTAGATCTGCAGTTGAGATTTGAGAGGTTTGATAAGGTCATGCTTTATAAACCTTGGTTTTAAGGGGTAGAGAATAGTCTTGAGAGAGATATTGATCATTTTATCAGTAATGTAAAATGAAATGTAGACTATATGTCCATCCACAATCTTAAATATTCTGTATCACTATTTTTAATATTGCTATAAATTGGGTTGTCAAGGCATGTGTCAAACTATTCTGCATGACAACAGACTGGTCAGGGGCTAAGGTTCTACTTGATTGCATCAAAAAGCCATTGAATAAGATTATAAATACTAAATACTATAAATACTTCTAAGAGACTTACAAATAGTCTTTATCAGTCAGTCATATGAAATACAGTATCACATCCCCATAGTGTGTTTAGATTTATTGTATAAATACTCTTTTTGGCAATATTGCTGTAAATGAGGCCAGTGTTACCAGTATGGTCTTGAGGAACAGGCAGTTTACCAACTACATTCCCAAAAATAAGGTTCTTTGTTGGCATTAATGATTCCAAGAAGAAACTTTAACATTCATGGAACCTTTCACAAAAGGTTTTGTGATGGCACAAAAGGTTCTTTACAGTGAAATAAGGGTAAACCATGGTTCTTCTAAAAATTGTTTACTGAAAGGTTTTTTTGGGGAACCCAAAATGTTTCTTCTGTGGCATCGCTGCGAAAACTCCCTTTTGGGAACTTTATTTTTAAGAGTGGTTTAGATTTATTGTATAAATACTCTTTTTGGCAATATTGCTGTAAATGCTGCAAAATGAATATTGCAGTGTTACCAGTATGGTCTTGAGGAACAGGCAGTTTACCAACTACATTCCCAAAAATAAGGTTCTTTGTTGGCATTAATGATTCCAAGAAGAAACTTTAACATTCATGGAACCTTTCACAAAAGGTTTTGTGATGGCACAAAAGGTTCTTTACAGTGAAAAAAGGGTAAACCATGGTTCTTCTAAAAATTGTTTACTGAAAGGTTTTTTGGGGAACCCAAAATGTTTCTTCTGTGGCATCGCTGCGAAAACTCCCTTTTGGGAACTTTATTTTTAAGAGAGTGTTCTGGATGACACGAGAAGAAGGGATTTCCTCAAAATGTCAGTGAATAAACTTCCAACCAAACCAAAACCAAATATGTTTGATGGTGCTTAAATATTTCTACAATGAGGATTTAAGGAGTCTACACTGTTATTGATTCTTGGGCTCAGTATAGTGAAAGATCCCTAAATATGAGAGCGCAAGCTGTTGTCTTTTTCCTGTGATTGGCTTCTTTCACAGATGGCATTGTATCTCGAACACTCAGTTCTCATTGAAGAAATTCCAAGACACGTACTGGACAGACGGTTACTTCAAGACATGTTACAGAGGTCAAAGAAAATTCACCCTCACTAAATTCATTAACTATATAATTCCTTAAAATTCACTTTTGCCTTTAAGAATCATCAAGAATGATGAATCCTAGATCTATTTATGGTATCTCTCTCCTCACCTCTTTATTTTCTTCTCCCTTACCACGATGCACCTCCGTGCTGTATCACTGTACAAATTCATTTGCATTACAAATTTGAACTGATTTGTTATTTGCTCATATGAATATTCCAGCCTAATGTTCTTTTCTCTGAAGCATGTGCCACCACATACGGTGGAGTAAGAGTCTTTATTATCCGAAACTCGAAGGAAATGGGTTTATTTTTGCGCAGTTATAATTGCACAGTTGGTCCCTTTTCTCAAGGCATTTGGAAAGCATTTGTTCATAGATTAGCATTGTCTGTTACTAAACAAAGGCTTGTATCACTTCTTAGGGCAACTCATAATTGTTACAGAGTGCTTATTCATGTTTTTACTAAAGCCTTAAAAGCATCAGTATCATAATATCATTATAATTCAGTACTGATTTGTAAATGTAAAGGTGGATGTATAATCACATAACACATGATCAATTGGTCTTGGGAGGAAAAAAAAGAAAGACAAGCTTTGCTCTATACTCTTTTTAACTACACTCTTTTATAGCTGCATTTATACCCCCGACTGGGTATTTAAATCTGAAAGGACACCTTGATTGCATATTACCTTAAGTTATGAGAGTAGATGATTCATTAAGAAGCTTAAGCATGTGATTTCTTAAGCGTGCTCTTGTATATTGTCCCGGCAGCAGGTCTGGAGCGCAGGCCTTCAGAAGACTGTCCACTGGGTCACTTTCCATGTGGCAATATGAGCATCTGTCTGCCACAGGTTCTGCACTGCAACGGCCAAAACGACTGTCCCAATGGAGCTGACGAGGACAGCTGTGGTCAGAACCGTTTATAAATACAGACATCTCACATGTAGCTTATCTATGTTTATTGCATCATTTCTGATTGATATGTAACATTATGATGAATATGTATAGAGGCTAGTTGTCACGCAGAGATGTCACAAGGGCTATATCTTAGTAACTATAAAGTATCATTCAAATGTTCTCTCTGACAGTTTCAAACACCTTTCAAATTCTTAAATGACTCTTTAATGGCTTAATAATGAAATGACATTGTTTTGTGAATTTTATCTTTCAAATTAAAAAATAAAATTAAATAAAAAAAATGTTTATTTATATAATTGAAAAAATATTGGGTTTTGACATAACTATATTAATTATGGCAGTTTGGTGGCAATATGTGTCACACAAGTTTTATAAGTCATAAAAATGTATAAAGTTTATTAAAGACAATATTTGTTGGCCAAAACAATATTTTGCTCTTTCATTAATTTTGTGTCAAAATTGTTTTGCTGTTTAAATTTAGCCTGTAATAGCAAAATTTTATTGCAGAAATGTCTCTGTTTATATTAACATGAAGTGTTAACTTATGTGTGTGTGTGTGTGTGTGTGTGTGTGTGTGTGTGTGTTTTGTGTGAATGTGTGTGTGTGCTTGTCCCATGTTGTCTCATGTCCATCTCTCTGAAGGAGATAACAGTGGCTGGGCAGATCTCTTCGACCGGACTTTTAAAAGGATTTATCCACAAGATCTTGCTACAGACTGCCGTAAAATTACACCTTATCCTGTCATTATCTCTTGAAAGTTTGCTGTCTCAGAAACACAGTTTAGACAGTCCAGGTCTAGACAGTGTGAAAACGGCTTGTACTAGTACAGACTGTATATCAAATGTATAGTGCAATATTTAATGTCACTTGCAATACAAGTTTATATTTAAGTTACAAGTTCAACTCATTTATTATCTGAAATGTAACATTTATTTAAAATGTATTTTAACACACTTGCAACGAAGTATAGTTCATTTTTAACTATATTTTGGTTGGCACTCTGCACAAACCTCCAACACATAGTTTTGGCAGTTGCATTGCCAAAACTATAGAATCTGAATGTGTGTGTTCGTGTGTGTGTGTGTGTGTGTGTGTGTGTGTGTGTATATGTCTCTCTTTACTGTCCTGCCTTGCAGAAGTGGAGCAGTACCCTGATCGCTGCCGGTGCATAAACACCGAGATCCACTGTGTGCATGTCAGCTTGAGATCCATTCCACAGGTGTCATCGAATGTTACCTCCCTGTACGCAGCCTTCCAATGCAAATTTGTGTTGTCAACATGCAGTTTACAAATGATAAATGTCTAATTGTTAAGATTCTGGGCTGAAGGATTAATTCAAATTAAAAGTGACCACATAAAAAAACTCTGGGGCAGGTTTAGCACGGTTTTTTGGTGCAGTCTGAATTATAATGTAACAGCCAGCTGTTTAGCAACAAACAACCAATCAGAAACTGAACTTAGCTTGCCTCGCTTTGCATACAGAAATGCTTCATTCATTCATTCATTCATTCAACATGAAACTATCAAAAGGGTAATTGCGACTTTTTTCTCACAATTCCGATTTTTGTCTTGCAATTTGAAAAAACAAAACAAGAGGTATAAACACGCAGTTCTTAGAAGAAACGTCTGAATTGTGAGATATTATCTCGTTATTGTGAGAAAAAAGTCTGAATCGTGAGATAAAAAGTTGCAATTACCGTTTTCAGTTTCTGCTCCATGTTGAAAAAACAGTATTGCGACATGTAAATTTAGAATCACAAGATACAAAGTCAGAATTGCGAGATGATATTGATATTGATGCCACAATATGCAAATGAGAATGTTCACCCAGGGTTTACAAATGACATGGGCCAACAATTAACCTTCAGTGTGCAATATGTTGCTTTAGACAAATGCTTTGGCTAAATAACAATTAAGTAGCAGTATATGCTGAAAATAAATAAAGTCCAAGCCATTACATCACAAGAATCATAATCAGATAAGCTGATTTATACTGATTATCAATGTTGAAAACAGTTTTATGAAACTGCTTAATTTTTTTGTGGACTATCCTTTTTCCAAATTATTTTCTTGAAATAATAAACAAGTCATTTTAAAAATATTTATCCAGTCGTTTTGCCTCCCTTTTGAATGTTTGAATGGAATATACAGTACAGTACACTTCCATTCAAAAGTTTGTGGTCTGTAAGATTTTTTTAATGTTTCCAAAGGAAGCCGCTCACAAGGCTGCATTTATTTGATGAAAATTAATTTATTCATGATTTATTTATTTATTAAAAAATGTATTTATATAGCAGCCATTACATCACAAGAATCATAATCAGATAAGCTGATTTATACTGATTATCAATGTTGAAAACAGTTTTATGAAACTGCTTAATTTTTTTGTGGAAAATGTAATGCATTTTTTAGGATTATTAATGAAGAAAATAAATTTAAAAAAAACAGCATTTATTTGAAATAGATTTTTTTGCAACAATTTAAAAGTCTCTGCTTTTTATCACTTAAATGTATCCTTGCTTAATAAAAGTTTGTATTTATTTATTTATTTTCTTTTCTTTTTTAAATCTTACTAACCTCAGTTTTATAAATGGTAGTATACTTATATTTACCTTTTTTTTCTTTTTTTTTTTCTTTTTTGAGGAAGTGAATATGCAATACCAGGTGCATTAAGTCATTAACATTTTCATAAATACACCAAACTGGAACTGGGAACACCACTGTGTGACATTAAGATTCATTTTCAAGTAATTTCAAGCTGTTGTCTGATTGTTAAACTGAGACAAGCTGGGAAGTTTCAGTGCATTCAAACCTTGAGATGGCTTGGCATTAAATCAAACATGAGAAGTCAGTCATTGTGGTGTTTTTTGGTGTATTATTTGAAAGAAAGCGCATTTGTGTTTCTGTGTTAAGGAGAAAAGATAGTTTATCGTATTTATTTCATGCTGCGTCTCAGAAAAGGCACTGAGAGTAGAATTATACCATTAAAGAAGTTTATACTGTAGCTCCACTTCAATGTTTAGGTTCTTTTTCATATAGATCAATTAATTCTCCTCCTCATGTAAATCGATTTCATGAATAATTATCAATGACCCACTCCTAATATTTTCATAATTTAAAGTCCTTATTAAATATTTAATGTTATATAACCCAGAAATCACTTTATTTTCTGTATGGAGCCACAGCAGAAACACTGTCAGAGTGAAAACACAACATACTGCTGCAGTGATAAGGATGCCCACATACCACAGTCCTGAGGCATTCATTTGAGATCTGATTAAGCACCTCTTATATTCAAATATTTATTCATTCTTAGATGAATGTTTGGTTGGGTACCTTTAGTTTTGGATACAGTACTTCAGATACTCAAAGGATGACATGACTAATAGAATCGTAGACAAAATAATTGAGGTTCATGTGATCTGTTTGGCGCCAGGCCATCATTCTTCTGACATTATTTAAGTTTTCTGTTACACGCCTGTGCAAAAGTCTTCAACATGATACAAGGGTAGTGTAAGTGGTTTCAGAGTTGAAGGTGTTCTGAAAAGCATGTTGCTTGGTGGTTTCTTGATGGTTGCAAAGGTGTTCTGTGTGGTTGTTTTTGGCCCAAGTCAAAAAGTCTAAGTCTAATATAATGTTGATGATATTTTAGTCTGTAGATATGGCTCGGGTCCTGATATTTTATCAGCTTTGTAAACCTTTTTAACACAACAACCTGTTGACCAAACTGATGATTGTTTTCTTTTCTCCCTCAGGTTTCTCCAGGATAATTGCATTAGTACTGTTTCCATTCATGCTTTTAGTGGTCTATATAAGCTGCAAAAACTGTAAGTGCATATTTTATATAATAACATTTTTTAATTAATCATGAATACATTAACCTTTTTCTTTTTTGTCATTGTTAAAACATCCCATAAACATATTCTGAGAAAAGCTTAATGCACACTGATAGCATGATGCCTTGGCTTCAAATGTCAGACACTGGATTTGAAATGAGTTCAGACAGTGTTCCTGACCCTTATCTAATACAGTATAATGGAAGATATAGGAAAAGAAAAAGCATGAATGAGCAATTGTATTTGCTTGATCTTGTGTTGTAGATCTTTGAGCCAGAACTGCATCTCCTTGCTTTCTCCTGGAGTGTTCAGTGATCTTCATAAACTCAAGTGGTTGTGAGTACAGCCATCAGCACATCAACAAGCTGTAAATGCTGTTCTTATATGAAAAATGATCTTAAAATTGCCATCATCCAAAGTCAAGATAAATACATCAGTCATAGAGTCTATATCTATAATATGTTGAAACAGCGGTAGATGTCAGTTCTTAAATGTAATTTTTATGCATCTATTAAAAGATTAGATAAAAAAATTTGTAGTATATACTCCCATTCAAAAGTTTGTGATTGGTGAGACTTTTTAAACCTTTTAATAAGTCTCTTATGCTCACCCAGTCTGAATTTATTTGATGAAAAAAATACAGTAAAAACACAAATTTTGTGAAATAGTATTACAATTTAAAATAACTGTTTTCTATTTTAATATATTTAAAAATGTAATTTATTCCTGTGATGGCAAAGCTGAATTTTTAGTCTTTGTTGCCACATGATCCTTTAGAAATAATTTCGGTATGTTGATCTTGGGCTCAAATCAGCATATTATTAATGTTGAAAATAGTTCCATTTTCCCCCAGAAAGTGAAAAAAAAAAAACTGCATTTATTTGAAATCATTTGTAACATTATACATGACTTTACTGTAACTTTTCATCAATTTTTACGTCCTTGCTGAATAAAAGTATTTATTTCTTTAAAAAACTTTAACCAAACTTTTAAACAGTAGCGTAGCTGTACTGAATCCACGGGTTGTCAAGGTGAATTAAAGGGGTCATATGATGCGATTTCAATTTTTCCTTTCTCTTTGGAGTGTTACAAGCTCTTGGTGCATAAAGAAGATCTGTAAAGTTGCAAAGACTAAAGTCTCAAATCCAAAGAGATATTCTTTATAAAAGTTAAGAGTCAACCACGCCTACCTAAAACGGCTCGTTCTAACACGCCCCCAACATGTCTACGTCACGATGTGGGAAGATTATTCGGCCAATCACAACGCACTGGATAGCTGGCCAATCAGAGCACACCTCACTTTTCAGACTGATGAGCTTTGTAAAAATCGACGCGTTTCAGAAAGGCGGGGCATAGAGGAGAAACAATAATGTACAGTATGTGGAAAAGAATGTGTTTTTTTTAACCTTAAACCGCATAAACACATTTCATTACACCAAATACACAAAATAATGTTCTTTTTAGCAGCATCATATGACCCCTTTAAGGAAAGACAGCAAAACTCATCCAGCTGTCCATTATTTTGGCTGGTGTTTTAGGGACATTTTGCATGTTTTGAAGTGTTATTTCTTCCTATTTAGGATTTTGGATGACAATCCCATAACAACAATTACAGCCAACACATTTACTGGCCTGAGTTCCCTCTTCTTCCTGTGAGTCTTCATCAATCTTCAATTAGGAAGTTTTGACTTGTTCAGTTGTTCATGATTCAGTCACAAAAAATATTGCTTGGAGAAATAAAATATTTGCATTTTAACTGATTTAAGTCTGTGCACTGTAGTTGTAAATGTCTGTATGAGGTGTCTGCTGACAGGTGATGATGTTCCGGCTCACCTCATCTAATCGTCTGTACAGGTCAATGGTGAACACCTTTCTAGAACAGCTTCCACCCGCCAGACTCTGCACCCATATGCCCTTTCTCAGCTGGCTGTAAGCTTCTTTTCTACTTAATATAAATGTCACGCCTTGCTTGATTTTGAATTCAGTCAAGTTAGGAAGATGCTGGCAGTAGGCAACAGGGCAGCTCAGGTTTTGGAACAGAGCTACAATATACTGGTGTACTCAGAAACTGCCTGCTATTGTTTACTCATCAAAAATTGATATCTCACAAGACATTAGTTACCCACTGTCTTTAAGCCTGATTAAACAATTGAGCTCCCTGTGGTGCACTTGTACCAGTCATGTCACGAGTACTGTTTTTGCGCAAAGTGCATGGGTCTCATATTCACACAAAAAAAAGCCCAGACTGACATTATAGTGACATATTTAAAATATCTCTTGAACTTGTTCCTGTAATTTATTTCACCCAGGCAGCAAGTGTTTGAGAGTGAAACTAAAGCAACTGGAGAAACATTCAGGAGTTACTAAAGGGCTTGTCCCAATAATGCACTATATTACATAATTCAGAGAGTTGGGTGTTTTGGAACCTCTCAAGTCGCAGGATAATCCTATTTAACAGCCTTTGCTATGTGTGTGTGTGTGTGTGTGTTTATTATCAATAATTTATTCATTCATTCATTTGTTTTGCTGATCAACTATTGAAACTGTAGTTAGGAGAGTATATGCTACAGATTTTACTGTATATTATAAAAATATGTATACCTTAAAATCAAACATGATGAACCTTAGTAAAATCCTGTTGTGCATAGTGTACATCTTTAGCATTTTTTTTTCTTTCAGCATTAGTGTTTTTTTTTTGCTTTTTTTTGACTTGGCTCTTTTCAGATTGCAGACAGGTTTGAATGCTACCAGGGGCTCATCTTTCTTTATAGCATCTCTGTAGTACAAGAACAGTATGTTCTCTGTTGCTAATGCACTGTTATTCTCTCTTTGGCCAAGGCATCTGTCACTGACAGCCAAGAGCAACAGAATATGAGTTGCATTTCACTGATAAGCCGATGCATTTCTATGAGTGAAACCAAATTGTCTTAGACCTTCAGCTGTCATGTTACCTTTTAATATCATGTATATATTAAGTACATGTCAGTTTGCCTGTATTATATTTACTGAAATGTTTTTTTTTTTTTTGCATTGTGAATGTTTATTCATCAATACACTTTAACATGCTCTTTTAAAGGGATTTCGAGGGAAACTGTATTAAAACTTTGGGCTTGTCAACTTTACTCGGTTGTGAACATCTGACTGTGCTGTGAGTATTAGCATTATAAGTATTAATATTTTTTGAGTTGAAGCTAATTATACCATCTGTATGATAGGCTTTAAAGTTAGAAGTCAACATTTCACTAGAATGTAATTTAAATGTATAGATGATTAATACATAGTTTAAATGATTCTATTTTGCATTCTTTTCAAATGTAGCACAGCATTTTTCTGTACAAATTATATTATCAGCATAATTTGAATATTTTATTTCAGAATTTTGGTTCCCACTTTGTTTTAACTTATATTTTCTCTGATCCAAATAATTAAAAAGTAAAAACTCAAAGAGCATGTTATTGTAGCCAGTGTTATTTTAGTATCATTAAGATACTATTGTTTTTATTTTTATTTTTTCCATTTTCATGTTAAATTATAGTTAAAGTTTTAGTAATTTTGTTGTGTGATTTTTGTCTTTTTTTTAGTTTTTTGAAAGTCTATATAGTTTATTTATTTTTTTATTTTTTTCAGTTTTAGTTTTAGCTATTTTAGTACTTAAAGAATAATTAAAAAATATTGTCTTGGCAACTAGCTGAAATAAAAATAAGTGTATTTTATTTCAGTTAACCTTTATTATACTTCAAGCAATTATTTAAGGATTTTATTTATTTATTTTTAAGTTAACTATAATAACTCTAAGGCGCCTGTCCACCAAAGCGTTTTTCCCTGAGGCTAGCTTATTTTTTCTGTTGTTTTCAGTGCGACGCCACACTTTTTAAAACGCCAGGAGCATGACGAGGCGCTGAGTGTTGTTCTCACGTTTTTTTTTCTCCGCACCGAGAGTTGAAGATTGTTCAATTTTGGTTAAAACACAGCGCTCATCACTGTCACTTTTTAGTCAGCTAACCAATCACAGTGGATGAGGGGCGGTACTAACACCACGCCGACCAAACGTCACACCCTGCTTCTTCTAAGACTGAACAACAATGGAGAAGTTAATATTGCTTGTCTCCGAGTATTCATGTCTTTACCAGATGGAATTTCCGGACTACCACAATATTGTTATGAAAAATAATACTTGGAGAAACCTTTCATTCACGATGCGTCTGGATAGATTACTTACACATTGTAATCCGTTACTGATTCCAAATTACATGACAAAATTGTTAGTAACGTAATCCATTACATTACAAATTTTCGGTGATATAATCAGACTACTTTTAGATTACTTTTGACCTAACTTGTTTATCACATTGATTTGAATAGGATAATTGTGTACCATATCGATATAAAAATGCATAGAAAAAGAAAATATATTCAATTTGTTGTTATTGACAACATGAAGTACATTAAACATTACCAAGGTTTCCCAAACTGGGGTTCATAAATGTTTAATGAAAAGCAAATAATTAATCAAATCATAAAAATGTAAAATTAAAACCAATTATTTTTAAATAACATAAATCAAAATAAAACCCTTACTAAAAATGTTTTTTATTTGTTTACTGCATGTCATGTGACCATTAACCGTGAACATGCAAATGTGATACTTAATTATTAAAATATTTATTTTAAAATCTCAGGGGTACTTTAAGTAATTATAGAAGATGAAAGAGAAAGAAAGTGAACAAAAAAAGTTTGGGAATCCCTGTATTACATGTAAATAAGAAATAACGTGAATTTGTGCATTTTAATGTGGTTGTAATACAAAGGCCTTCCAAAAACAAAGTAATACATGATTAATTAACCTTCTGAGTGATAATTCAAATAAAAATGAACGTGTTCATCAGTAGTTGATGTAATGTTGAAATGCTAAGAAAACACTTCTTAAAACTGAAATGTTTTTGTAAATCCAGTGGTCAAATGCTGTCTCAACTGAAAAAAATGCTGCACCACAGAAGCGCTCTCAAACGCGCTCATAGTTAGGCGTTTTCAGCAGAGCACCTGGCATTTTCACCTGGTTAAAAACGCTTTGGTGGACACACGGCTTAATTGTTGCATGTAAGAAAAAATAAAATAAAACTAATTCTCCCTCTTTACCTTGAAAGTCCGTTTCTGTACTTTTGGTCTCCAGCTGATAATGGACAGTTTTAAAAATGGAAACAATTACAGAGTTCCAAATCAGGAGCCTCTCGATGTGGTTTATGATCCTTAGTCTTCTCACCCTTGCTTTCTTCTAGGTCATTGAGAGCCAACCTCATCAAGAGTCTGCCAGAGAATACCTTCCAGTCTCTGCGTATGATGGAAGACCTGTAAGTGAAGATGAAGCATTGCTGTGAATGAGTGTGTGCATGGAAACAAAGGCGTTAGTAAGTTATTAGTGAGTTTAATTTGACATGTCCTTTTCGCTTTTGCAGGGATCTGTCCAGTAACTTGATAAAGGAACTTCCAGTCAGTATATTCAAGGATTTACCCTCATTGCAGATTCTGTGAGTAATAGTGGTCAGATGAATAAAACTATTTGAAATTGTATTTAATTAAAAAAAAATGTAAGAAAAAAATTATATATATATATATATAATTGTGCTGCTGTCTGTAAGTACACTTCATTATTAAGTGTAACTGTTGCATTGAGTTTCACCATAAAATGGCCTGCTGTGTTTTCTCATTTGTAGGAATCTGTCCCAAAACAC